CACTTTCCAATTTATTCAAATTTAATCAATGAACTAGAATTTCTCATTAATAATAGTAAACAAAAAAAGTGAAAAGAATTCTCTTCAGAATTTTTAACAAATCGGCAATAAATTTCGCTTTTAAAAAAAAAAAAATTGTTAAGAATTTTTTTTTAGATGACCCACTTAAGAGATTAAAAGGAATGCAAATTTATAAACAAAAATTTGTATAAATATTTTAAATCTAGTCAAAGTTTTATTGTTTGTTTTTAAAACATTTTATTTTTTTTAAACAATAAACAGAAAATGAGTTTATTAACTTAAACGCTGGCAGTTGCTGTCAACTTTTGTTTAATAATTTGTTTATGTTTATTGGGAAAGTTAAATTGGGTACAAAAATATGTTTGAATATTTTTATTATAGTAAATTATGAATAATTTGTATTTTATATTGTAACTTATGATGATGCGTCAAAAATGAGTCATTTTGATGAAAGAAATATGAGAAATTTCTAAGAAATATTTCAAAATTAATTGTATGTCGTAAACAATCATCTCTAAAGCCAATCTTTTAGTTTTTTTTTTGTTGTGTATAATGACACATAATTGGGTGGTATGTATGATTAATTAATGTATTGAAACCAATATTGTTGGTGATTTGTTGTGTTACAAAACACAAAGAGGCATGTAAATATTATAAATATTTAAAAACTTTTTTATACAGAAAGTTTTTAAGAAACTTTTAATTATAGTGAAGTTTTCTAAAAAGCCTAAAGAAACAAATATTTTTAGTTAATTTTTAATTAAGAAAAAAATTTTAAATACAAATTTTTGAAAATTTTTATTTTTATTTAAAAAATTTTCTTAATTTTTTTAAGTTTTAATTTAAAGTTTGTTCTAGCTTTTATAGCCTTATATGTTAGCTTTTAGTAGTCGTTTAAAAACTTTAAAACGGTTTACTATATCCCAAGTTATAAGCAAATTTTTATTTAAAGTCAATAATTAATATTAATCATACGCCACCCATACAATAAAACTTTGAATACAAATAACCCTCAAACTACTAAAGCTATCTAAACACAATTTGGCACTAAGTTAAAAAAAGACTTAAGCTTTTCTTACATCTATCATATAACAAATACTTTAGCCTTTAAAGTAAACTACAGCGGGCCAAAGTTGAATACTTTTTAAAAGAAAAAAGTTTCAACATAAAAATTTACTTTTTTCTCCCTATTTTCCTATACAATTTCTTATCAAAATTAACACCTATTATTCCTCACTTTTCTATCTCATTTAAATTTATTTACTTTTCTCATTTATAGCCATGATTGGGTCATAAACATGTACTACAAAAGTGATGTGCAATAACACAGTAAAACGTAATGCCCTTTTAGTAAATAATAGGCATATTTATTATGTTATATATATGTACTTGTTGTTATTATTTCTGTTTATCATCTCCCTGAACTCAAACAAGACTCAAAAACTTAAAAAAAAAACATCTATTAAATCATAAATAATGGGAGTAGTTTACTTTGTACTTGTAATGTTTATTAAAGTTAAATAGTAAAGCAATGGATTAAACAAATAAATTATGAATGAATTATACTAAATATTTTCAACAAAATAAATACACATACACACACATGTTTAACTGCACTAGTCCCATACATAAAAAATCATCGGGCAAAAAAACAAACCTAACACCAAAACTCAATTATACACTTTACACAATTGGCTACACTTCAAATTTATCATAACACACACGCACACTTTTCTACATAAACACACACTCACATCACACACTAATACATTTTTGAAACAAATTTAAAAGTTTTTTTTGTTGCTTTTAGTTTCTCATTAACATCGCCCTACTATTATTAATATTTGAAAAAAAAAAAAACAATAGAAATAAAACTATCAACACTTAAAAAATGTACTTTAACTTTACTTAACAAACAATTTTAACTATACACTTAAAGAAATCTTGAGAATGATCTATAAACAAGACTTTAAACTAATCAATAAATCAAGCTATCGAACTAAGTATAATTTAGATTATAAACTAAACCAAAGTCCACACTATAATTAGACTAATCTATAAACCAGACTATAACTACAACTACAGATTGATCTATAGACTATAGATTGATCTATAGTATTGACTATAGACTGATCTATAGTCTTGCTTATAGACTGATCTATAGTCTTGACGATAGACTTATCTATAGTCTTGACTATAGACTGATCTATCGTCTTGACTATAGACTGATCTATAGTCTTCACTATAGACTGATCTATAGTCTTGACTATAGACTGATCTCTAGTCTTGACTATAAACAGATCTATATTCTTGCTTATAGACTGATCTATAGTCTTGACTTTAGACTGATCTATAGTCTTGACAATAGACTGATCTATAGTCTTGTCAATAGACTGATTTATAGTCTTGACAATATACTGATTTATAGTCTTGACTATAGACTGATCTATAGTCATGACTATAGACTGATATATAGTTTTGACTATAGCCTGATCTCTAGTATTGACTATAAACAAATCTATAGTCTTGCTTATAGACTGATCTATAGTCTTGACTATAGATTGATCTATAGTCTTGACTATAGATTGATCTATAGTCTTGACTATAGACTAATCTATAGTCTTGTCTATAGACTGATCTATAGTCTTGACTATAGACTGATATATAGTCTTGTCTGTAGACATTATCTATAGTCATGACTATAGACTGATCTATAGTCATGACTATTGACTGACCTATATTCCTGAATATAGAATGATCTATAGTCTTGACTATAGAATGATCTATAGTCTTGACTATAGAATGATCTATAGCCTTGACTATAGAATAATCTATAGTCTTGACTATTAACTGATCTATGGTCTTGCTTATAGGCTGATCTATAGTCATGACTATAGAATGATCTATAGTCTTGACTATAGAATGATCTATAGCCTTGACTATAGAATGATCTATAGCCTTGACTATAGAATGATCTATAGCCTTGACTATAGAATGATCTATAGTCTTGACTATAGACTGACCTATAGACTTGACTATAGACTGATCTATAGTCTTGACTTTAGACTGATCTAATATTTTGACTTAAGACTGATCTATAGTCTTGACTATAGACTGATCTAAAGTCTTGACTTAAGACTGACCTATTGTCTTGACCATAGACTGATCTATAGTCTTGACTATAGACTGAGCTATAGTCTTGACTATAGACTGATCTATAGTCCAGGCTGTAGAATGATCTATTGTCAGACTACAGACTTATCTATTGTCCATACAAATCTAATCTATATAGTCCAGACTGTAGACTCATCAGTATAGACTGGTCTATAAAACTGATCTATTGTCCAGACTATAGACTGATCTATAGGCCTGACTATGGATTGATCTATACTCCAGACTAATCTATTGTCCAGAGTATAGACTGATCTATAGTCCGGACTATAGACTCATCTATAGACTGGTCTATAGTCTTGACTATAGACTGATCTATATTCTTGACTACAGACTGATCTATAGTCCGGACTGTAGACTGATCTATAGTCAGGCTATAGATTGAAATATAGTCCAAACTGTAAACTGATCTATAGTCCAGACTATAGACTGAGCTGCACTTCAGACTGATCTATAGTCCAGACAGTAGACTGATCTGTACTTCAGGCTATAGACTGATCTATAGTCCAGACTATAGAATGATCTACAGTCCAGACTATTGAATGATATATATTCCAGACTATTGAATGATATATATTTCAGATTATACAGTCAAGAACTGATATATAGCTTAGACTATAGAATGTTCTATAGTTTAGACTATAGACTGATCTGAAGGCTAGACTGGTCTATAGTCCTGACTAAAGACTGTTGTGTGTATATTCCAGATTATACACTGATTTATAGTCCAGACTATTGCCTGATCTAGAGTGTGATCTATATTCTAGTGTAGTCCATAGTGTGTTCTATGGTTTAGTCTATTAGGGTATATAGCAATTTTTACCTGTGTAGCCCTATAGTTTTAAATCTTTTCCAAATTTTATTTTCATTATAAAAACGAATCATATTTGATAATGAACTTTAGTTGCTATTTGCGACATTTTTTTTCAAGTCTTAATTGTAAATGTTATGGTTTCTTTGAATTTTTTTTTTAGTTTTTTTTTTTTTTATACATTTGTTGTTATTAACGATGTTGAAAATTTAAGCAAATTAAATGAAAAAAATATAAACAAAATTTCGTAATAAATTCAGGGCTAATATAATGATTATGATTTTTAATAAGTTTTTAAAGTTAAAAAAAAAAAATACATAAACATATGACGTGGTAACTGTTATTGAAAGCAAAAAGTATTAAATGTTTAAATTTAAGCAATTTTTGAAAAGAAAATGTTTTAGGAAATCAATTTATTTTGTTTGGTAGAGAATTTTTTAAAACAAATATAGAGAAAAATAAGAAGCTCATGTTTGGTTTGGTAAGCGGCTTAGGTTGTTATAGAAAATTTGTGAGTTTTACAGAAATTAAGAAATTTTTATAATTTTTTTTTAAGAAATTTTTTAAATTTTAGTTTTTGTTAAACAAATTTTATTATTTGATTTTAGCTTAGTGTTGAGTTTTGTTTTGTTATTTATAGCTAAAACTGTTAGCTTTTAGAATCCTTTTAAAAATTTAAATTTATTTAAGTTTTAGAAAAGTTATGATTAATTTTGTGTTATAAGTCAGTAATTAATATTAATCATACGCTCTGTGGGAAATAAAAGTTAAAATTAAGATATCTAGAGAAGTTTTAAAGGGATTTAAGTGAAATTTGGTATTTAGATAAAGGTGAAGATAAGCTTTTAGGGGAGTGAAAAATTTTGGAAAAGTTGGAGGAAAATTTTCTAGAATTTTAAAATTTTTTATAGAATTTTTTGAAATTTTTTTTTAATTTAAAATTTTTTTTTAATTTAAAATTTTTTTTAATTTAAAATTTTTCTTTATTTCTTTACAGATGACTTGTGGCATATCGTGTGTGGACAAAACGTTAAATAAAACATTTTTTCATTTGGGCGTTTTTATAGCCAAACATCCGGGTTATTTTATTATTGTGCCAATACTTTTAACTTTATTATGTATAACGGGGTAAGTTTGGAAAGATATTTTAAAGAAATTTCTAATTATTTTTGTGCTTATTGATTGTTCTATTACAGCTTCCAACAATTAAAGTATCAAATTGATCCAGAATATCTATTTTCACCCATTAATGGAGAGGGTAAGGCTGAAAGAGCAATCGTTGAACAATATTTTAAAGTCAATTATACGCATCGTTTTAATGTGGGTCGCATAACAAGGCCAGGTGAGTTCAAATAACTAAAAAAAGATCCTTAATTGATTTTGAAGAGGAGAAGTAGAAGGAGGAGGGTGTTTTTTTTATTTATTTAAATTTCTTTTTAATGCCAATTTCAATTACTAGTTGTTAATTTTTTTCATCTGCTTCTGCTACGCCATTTTTTTGTATATTTATTTATTTGTTTGTGTGCGCTTTAATTTTCTTTTTTATTATTTAAACATTTAAATAAGAGCGCGCTTTAATTCAATTTAAATTTTGTAAATCTGAAACTGAAATCTTTAGCATGTTGTTGTGGATGATCATTGCAATAGTTTAAGTTTTTCTTTTTTTTTATTTCGTTTATGACTAGATTTTGTAAAGAAAATTGTTTTGTGGAATTGTCTGGAAACCACCAGAGTATAAGTGTATTGTACGTCATTTAATTCATATAAAAATAAATACCGAACACAAGTGGAAAGAAAGCAGTGAGGATGATGAACTAATTTAAAATAATTTATACAGCAACAGTTTTACAAACAACAAAACTCATCTTTACAAAAGGCCTCTTCTTTTAAATTCTAAGAAAATATTTTAAACAGTTTTTTTTTTTTGCAATTCCCACACCCTATTTGTTTGTTGTTGTTGTTGTTTTCTTAACTAAAAAATCACGTTTTAAAGCAATCAAAATTTTTCGAAAAAAAAAAATAATAAAATTAAACTAAATTTCTAAACATAAATGATTCATAAATTTGTTTAAAAAATTCTATAAAAACAACTAAATTTCTTATAATAAACTAAATTTTAACATTTTCTCATGATTTTCCTTTGATTTTCTGAATGTTCGAAAATTCGAACTTAAGTTCGAAAGTTCAAAATTCATCAAAAATATCCATTTTTAGTGTTAAATCCATATTTAAACTCTATTTAAGTAATTTTTAACAATTTTAGTGAAAATTTTCAAAGTTCGAAAAATTCGAACTTAATTTCGAACATTCGAAATTACCCCAAAACGGCTAAATTTTTGCTATTAAATCTACAAAACAACTATATTATGTATTTCTGAAGATTTTTAAACCGAAATCAACGTTTTTTGCAATGTTCGAAAAATTCGAATTTAAGTTCGAAAATTCGAAATTGTCCAAAAATTTATATTTTTAGTGTAAAAATCGCATTCAAACTCCATTATAGTAATTTTTAACAGTTTTAGTGAAAATTTTCAATGTTCAAAAAATTCGAACTTAAATTCGAAAATTTGAAATTGTCCAAAATGCTACATTTTTGCTATTAAAACTACAAATCAACCAAATTTCGTATTTCTGAAAGTTTTTAAATGAATTTCAAGATTTTTTACTATGTTCAGCTAAATTTTGCATTTCTGAAGGTTTTTAAACGAATTTCAATGTTTTTTGCAATGTTCGAAAAATTCGAACTTAAGTTCGAAAATTCTTAATTGTCCTAAAAATTATATTTTTAGTATGAAAATCACTTTCAAACACAATTTTAGTCATTTTTAAAATTTTTAGTCAAATTTTTCAATAATCGAAAGATTCGAACTTAAGTTCGAAAGTTCAAAATTCTCCAAAACATGCTGAATTTTTGCTATTAAAATTACAAATCAACTAACTTTAGTATTCCTGAAGGTTTTTAAACGAATTTCAATGTTTTTCGCAAAATTTGAAAAATTCGCACTAAAGTTCGAAAGTTCAAAATTCTCAAAAAAATTTTAAATTTTTGCTATTAATACTACAAATCAACTAAGTTTTGTATTTCTCAAGGTTTTTAAATGGAAATTAACGTTTTTTGCAATGTTCGAAAAATTCAAAATTAAGTTCGAGAATTCGTAATTGTCCAAAAAATTCTATTTTTAGTGTTAAAAACACTTTCAAACTCAATTTTAGTCATTTTTAACATTTTTAGCCAAACTTTTCAATGTTCGAAAAATTCGAACTCAAGTTCGAAAGTTCAAAATTCTTAAAAAAATTTATAATTTTTACTATTAATACTAGAAATCAACTTAATTTTGTATTTCTGAAGATTTTTAAACGGAAATCAACGATTTTTGCATTTCTGAAGGTTTTTAAACAAGTTTTTAAGGTTTTTTGCTATGTTCGAAAAATTCGAACTTATGTTCGAAAATTCAAAATTACGCACAAAAGGCAAAATTGGCTTAAAATCCGAATTTTAAGGTTTTTATGCATAAGAAAAGATTACCTGAACTTAATTTTGAGTTTTTTAACCACTTTTTGCAAGTTCGAAAATTTTCGAACTTAATTTCGAAAATTCGAAATTGATTTAAAAACTTTATTTTTTTAGTTTTTGTTTACAAAATTATATATTCACATTAAATGAGTTAATTTTAGCATGTTTACCCAACTTTTTTCATGTTCGAAAATTTTCGAACTTAATTTCGAATTTTCGAAATTGCTTTAAAATTTGTATTTTAAGGTTTTAATGCATAAAATAAGTCTACCTGAGCAAAGTGAAGCGTTTTTAACAATTT